ACTTCTGTCTCTAAGGATTTGTTCATCTGGACACATGATATAAATGGAATCCATGCACTGTGTGACTGGCTTCTTTCACTTAGAATAGTGTTTTCAAAGTTCAGCCATGTTGTTGGGTGTGTCAGAGCATCACTCCTTTCTATTGCTGAGACTACACCACTGCACAGGTGTGCAACAGTTTGCTCACCCTTTTATCAATTGATGGACATGTGGGACATGTCCACTTCTTAGCTCTTACCAATAGTGCTGCTGTGCACATCTGCATACAAATTTTTGTGGGGAGGTATGTGTTCAGTTCTTGTAGGCACACCCTCAGGAGTAGAAAGCCACTTTTGATCTTTAACAGGTCCTTTCCTTTTTGCCTCCTGAATTAGACTTGTGGGCAGGGACTGTGTTTCGTTCCTCCTTGTCTCTCCACTACCTAGCACAATGTCTGGTGTGAAATAGGCATCTTTAATTAGATGAATGAATGGTAAAATTTAGATAAGTGGAGGTTGGTAGGTCATTTCTACTTGGTAGTTTTAGTCAAATTGTGTGAATACAGGAACGTACAGTACTATCTGTGGCCTAAGTGTGATCAGTGATGCATCCTAAAAGTGAAGATAGCACCATAAACCTCTGTGCTTTGCTTTACAGCACATTGGGCTCCATGTCATATCATAGCTGTACTCCACTCATGGAATATGCAAGGGTTTTAGAATTACTGTAATTAAACCAACTAAATAATTTTATTTAAAACTAATGAGCTAACATTAATAAAATTCATAAAATTATGGAATATTAGATTTGGAAAAATGTTTCAGTGTTTGTTTTTTCTAAAACCCATGGTCTGCACACTTTCTCTGTAAAGGCCCAGGTTTTCAGTTTTGCAAGCCATACCAGTCTCTGTCGCCAGAACTCACATCAGCTGTCATTGTGCAGAAGCAGCCCTAGACAGTGCACGAGGGCAGGGTGTGGCTGGCAGCCTCAGAGAGGTGCTGCTGATAAGAACAGGCGGTGGGCTGGACGTGGCCTGCCTGCTGCAGTTTGCCAAATCTTGTTCTCAGCAAAGAAGCTAGAGCTGAAAAACGGGGAGTTGCCCAGTGTTGATGGAGAGAGTGCCAGAGTGGAAGCTCGACTCTGGCTCTCAGCTTAGCAGCACCCTGCCATTTTGGGGGAAGGGGTCACCTCTACGGCACCTCTGTCCTGCAGCCTGCCCTGCCTGCTTGCCAGCATGCTTGGGCTTCTCACCTGGAAACACTCTGCACAGCCTCCATTAAAGACTGCACATTGTCC